AGGATGCGGTAGGATATCCCAGCTCAGCTCCAATAATTTTTGCCATGTTTGTAAAGACGTGTGTAGTCTGGCGTTGTCGTGATGGAAAACAACCCCTTTACAATTCACCAATTCTGGACGTTTCTTGTGAATCGCTGCGTTTTATTTATCCAACTAGCCACAGTATACATTTGAATTAATCGATTAATCGTCTTTATTTTGTCTTGATCAATCTCTGGCTCAACTGGTCGGGCCGTGTGGTAGTGTGTCTTGGATAGAAAAATTTCCGGAACGAAATTTTGCAAATCATTTCTGGCACACACGTTCTTTCACGGTATTCTTACCATATACCGCACATATTTTTTTAGATGTTTTTGCCTTTGTTAAAATAAAACGCATGGACTTGGCCAACCCAATATGTATATATAAATATATATATATATAGGTATATTATATCTATATATATTATATCTATATATTATATCTATATATCATAAAGGTATGCATAATGCGATTTAATTATATATAATTAAAAATAATTTTATATATATATATATATATATATATATAGATATATATATAGATAAAATATTTAACTCAACATAATTAAACAATAATATAATTTATCTATCTATTTCACAAAATTAAAAATTGTGTATACAGGGTCTACCAAAAGTGTGGAAACCCCTAAATATCTCGGAAAATATACGTTTTACAGAAAAGTGTTTCCAACAAAAGTTGTAGGGTTTAAGAAGATCTATATACTGATTCTATCAGTTTGACCTTGGATGGCGTTGTCAAGGTCAGGTCAAGGTCACATTGACTTTTTTAAATGACACCCCCTACATTTGATTGCATATTCTTATAGCTTAATTCAAGAGCTTTCCAAAACACTATAATAATGTTCATTTTTATTAAGTACTTTGCGAGTTATGAGGGTTGAATGATAGAGTAGCGCCGGTATTAACATTATCCAAGGTGTACTACATGGAGGTTACTCGCTCGGATTTGCATCTGTTGTGTGTGTGATCCAGCTAACTAAGGCAAGATCGATTCCTCAACATATCCTCATATTTCGCTGAAGTCAAATTGCCAAAAAATTGCTCCATAAAACGTGTATGAAACGTCTCGTTAGTTCCTTCATTTACCGCTATGTGACGCACTACATGCAGTCTAACTCGCATTTAAAATTCAACTAAGAATGTATAAAGCTATCAAAGAACGAGCACCTTCTAACTTCAGCTTTGAGCAAGCAGAAATTAATTGTTATCGTCCAAATACAACGTACGATTAATTAAAATTAAACGTTTTAAAAATGGGGCTGGCGACTTGTCGGGAACGTGAAAGAATCACTATCCTCATGATGCGTGGATGGGGTGATAACGAAAGATCGTTCTCTGATGTCGTTCGATTATTTAATGACACGTATCCGAACCGTCGAATTAATAAGTCCACTGTGTTAAAAACAATAGAACGTTTTAGACAAACTGGTAGCGTAAGAAATCGCTCTAAGTCAGGAAGACCATTGTCTGCAACCAACGAAGAAAAACAACTTGATGTTCTGCAGACATTTATTGAAGATCCCAATTCTAGTGTTCAGAGAGTCGCTCAAACTCACGATATTGCTCCCATGTCGGTTTGGAGAATTTTAAAGAAGAACAAGTTCCATCCATATAAATTGCAATACGTTCAAGAATTGCAAAACGGAGATGAGGAGCGTCGTATACATTTCTGTGAAAGAATGATGGCACTAATAGATGTCCGGCCCATCTTCCCTTATCAAATTGTTTTCACAGACGAGGCAACTTTTACCTTAACGGGAGAAGTTAATAATCAAAATTTTCGTTTCTGGTCAGATGAGAATCCGAATTGGGTGCGGGAAACTCACACACAACATCCACAAAAAATAAATGTATGGTGCGGAATAATAGATGGCTATTTAATAGGGCCGTTTTTTTTTGAAGAATATTTGAACGCTCAAAGGTATGAGAGATTACTTGTTGATCAAATAATTCCAGCCATACAGAATACTTTTCCAAATAATTTCCAAGAAATATGGTTTCAGCATGATGGAGCTCCTGCTCATTTTGGTGCAGGACCACGTCGTATTTTAAATGAGACTTTTCCGCTACGGTGGATAGGAAGAAGGAACGGAAATGAGGGAGGAGAGGATTGGCCACCTCGGTCACCAGATCTAACTCCTCTTGATTATTATCTATGGGGATATCTGAAGAGTAAGGTTTACAGAACAAAACCTAAAACCATTCACGAATTGATACAGCGAATAAGGGATGAAATGGCTTTGATACCTTTTGAAACGAATCGTAAAGTCATTTCTACATTCTACCAAAGATTAGCATATTGTCAGGAAGTAAATGGCAGCCACTTTCAGCATTTACTTTAACACATTGAAACACATTTGCAATCGTTTGGTGCAACCTAACCTGATCTCTGTATACACGCACCGCACGCACGCACACGCACACATTTCGAACAATTATTATGATAAATGAGCATCCACAAATTTATTTACTGTTTACTATGTCGATTGCTTTCCAGGTCTTTAAATGCTCGATTGTAATTTGGTTGGGTCTTTGCTTTTGCTGACTGGATCCACGACCGATCTTGCCTTAGTTAGCTGGATCACACACACAACAGATGCAAATCCGAGCGAGTAACCTCCATGTAGTACACCTTGGATAATGTTAATACCGGCGCTACTCTATCATTCAACCCTCATAACTCGCAAAGTACTTAATAAAAATGAACATTATTATAGTGTTTTGGAAAGCTCTTGAATTAAGCTATAAGAATATGCAATCAAATGTAGGGGGTGTCATTTAAAAAAGTCAATGTGACCTTGACCTGACCTTGACGACGCCATCCAAGGTCAAACTGATAGAATCAGTATATAGATCTTCTTAAACCCTACAACTTTTGTTGGAAACACTTTTCTGTAAAACGTATATTTTCCGAGATATTTAGGGGTTTCCACACTTTTGGTAGACCCTGTATATACAGGGTGGGCCATTTTAAGTGATCCACTCCAATAACTTTTTTATATTTGAATGTACAACAAAATGTTTCAAATAAAAGTTGCTTGACTTCGAGGGGGATAGAAGATGGGTGGCAAAAATTTGACCTTGGATAATCATTTGAGAGTCACATAAAGGTTACTTTCAATTTCTTAAATGGAACCCCCTATTTTTCATTGCATATTTTTGTAGCTTATCTCGAGAGCTTTCCAAAACACTATAATTAAGTACCTTTTCATTAAGTACTTTTTGAGTTATAAGGTTTGAAATAATTTCTTAATTTTACATAAACCATAAAATATCTAGTAAACCATTCATTTTTCGATTGTCTTACCTTGATACTTTTATATACAAAATAATGAAAGGAATCAATTGGTGTAAAGAAAACATACAGTTGTTTTTAAGAAAAAATATGGAATTGTTAATTGCAAATTACATTGGCGATACTGTAACTTTCAAGTCTCATAACTCGAGATGTACCTAACGAAAAATACTTAATTATAATGTTTTGGAAAGCTCTTGAAATAAGTTATAAGAATATGCAATAAAAAATGGGGAGTTCCATTTAAAAAAATCAACTTGATCTTCATATGATCTTGAGTACTTCATTCAAGGTTAAATTCTTATCATCATTATTAGATACATTTTATTTAGTCTTAAAACTTTGTTCCTTACATATTTTTCATTATAGTTGATCGTTTTTGAGATATTTTAACATTACGTGACTTTTTGAAGCCCCTGTATACATATATTGTACTATGAGTTTTTTAATAAACTAATATTGAAAAAAGAAAAAAGTTGTTGCTTCTCTGCGTTCCATGCGTTGGCTCTTATGCCATTTTTTTTTTAAATTTTTAGACATTTATTATTTAACTTGCACTTTATTATTTGTTACTACTCAAAATGTGGTTAATGATACATGTCATTAATATCGCAAGGCGTCGCTAGCATAATCTTCTGTCGAGAGTAGGAACTATATGTTTTCTCTTTCTATGTGTTGTGTACATATGTGTTGATGACGGTGATAAAGACATTTCTTAAATAAAAATTTCGATATTACATCATGATATCTCCGTTTATAGATCACATAGCACAAAAATAAAAATATTTTCTTTATACAGAGTGTATCTGAAATGATGCACTAAATTTTAGGAGCGTATTCTAGAGATCAAAATAAGACTTTTTTCCTTATGAACATGGGTTTGCAAATGAACTTCCCTCCGAGCTAAAATTCGAAAATGTGTAAAATTGATCAAACACCCGCAAAGCAAATTTATTTATCTCTCAAGAGAGAGTGATAGCTAACGTCAAAACCTTTTTCTTTCTGAAATACAGTCAATTTTTAATTTTTTCTCCAAACTTTAGGGGCTCTAACTCGAAGGGGAACTCATTTGCGGATCCATATTCATAGGAAAAAAGTCTTATTTTGACTTCTAGAATATGCTCCTAAAGTTTAGTGCATTTCAGACACACTCTGTATAATTCCAACTCGCTCTATCGATTAATCCTAATAAAAATTCGATCCGTTCAGCCGTTACTGAAATTCGGTAATCTGAGTTATTTTCAACTGTCCGACTCGCGTATAGATACATAAAATGTTTCTCATGAACTTGGCGCGAGACACTACCGTGATATAATGTCATTGGCAGAAATATTTCAAAAAATTAGGTTCTTCCATAATAAATTCATGAAATTTGTCGAAATTGCCGTTTTTGAACTATTTAATTATAAGTTACTCGAAAATTTGACGTGCTGGAAAAATTCTACGGCCAGATTTTTTTTCAGCATCAAAAAATCTATCAGATTTTTACTCTGCTTTTTGTAACACCTTTGCAGGCTTTGTGTATTCATTACTCAGTAATATTGATAAGTATATGTATGTGTTTCAGAATACATTTAACTTTCGCTTTTTCATAAATGATGGATACGCTTAATTTAAATACTTAAAATTTTTGCTTAACTAAAATATTAGAAATTTTTACTTGCCTGCCGAAAGAAGGAATTCCAATGAATTACCAAAAATCGGATAGCCTAGTGGTCCAGGGATAAGATTAATAAGTTGCCCATTTCTTCTATGATGCACATAATAATTATATACTAATAAACTAAGAATGGATAATAAAAATATAATAATAATCATCATCTTTTGATTCGATGTGTCGTCTAATAAAGTTCAGTCTTCTTGAATTCCTCTGATCTTTGAATCACATATCATGACATAGATAATATATTTGCTTTATCAGAATAATAATTAATTTGATATCTTAAATATATGTATATCAAGATAAGGTTAAGATAATCATAAATAAAATGAAATGTACTAATTATATATTTTTTTTATAGTTAATATATTATTTACATTTAATATAATTAATACATTTATAATTAATATAGTTAATACACTTACATTTACATTCAAAAAAATTATTAGAAAAGTGACAATATAATCAAAATTCATACTTTAATTCAGAAGATTCAATCTCTCTCCTGATATAAATCATTGCGCGATTTAATTATTTTGCAGCAGTAAATTATTTTTACGATAAAGTCTATTTTTATCTGTGACATATCTGTGACATGTCAGTGCCGTATCCATTTAGTTCCGTGATTTTCCATCAGTATCAGTGATGATAAATATTGTCCCTTTGTTTTTAGATGGTCGTATTCACACATATCCGAATTAGTATCGTATTCGGGTCGTTCAATTTCAGTTCAGTATCCACATAGTGATTATGTTTATTGTAAACGATTTTTGCTTTTTCATGGATACATTATGACTGTCAATAAATTTATTTATAGAGTATTTAGTGCCAAGCAAATCACTTGGATCAAATCGTGGATTTAGATGAAAATATTATATTGTATAATTTTATGATAAAATTTTACAGCAAAACTATGCTTAATATTATATTTTATTTGCATCCAAATCCACATCTTGACTTAAAAAAAGTGATTTGCTTCACATGGAAAAATCTTTATAAGCTTATACCTATATTCATATAGACATTTTTAGGCATTATTTAGACATTTGTAAAAATGAATGACGAACAATTCATTGAATTAGTGCGTCAATATCCCGTGTTATACGATTTATCACATCTTAAATATGAACTTCTTTCAAACTCGGTATTTGAAGGAAGATTGAAACAGATATGAAAGAAGATGGTAAATACTTTATATTACATTAATATTTTTAATTTCAGATATATTACTTATCTGAATAAATACAACATATTACAGTATTATAAATATTTCGAAACATATTTTACTCTTAAATTGTATATTGCCTAATCATTGCTAATTTATCGTCTGTAAACTGAGCTATCTTGAAAATTACTAAATAAGTTTAAACTGATCAAACTATACGGATATATATGTGAATAATCATCACTAATATTACAGATGTTACTAACACGATCTTGGTACGGCACTGACACGTCACGAATATGTGTAAATAGGCTTAAAAGTATGTAAATGGTATCTCCTTCCTATCTTAATAAATACAATTATTATTTTCAGTCAGTTTACTCCGAAAGAGATGAGATACTCAGAACAACCATAAAGATGATTTCGTTCGAAATTTTGAAGTTTGAATACGTTATAATCTAAGAAATTTAAATGAAGATAAAAAAATACTAGAATATTTTTTATTTTATTACATCTCACACAGCACATGATGTCACTCGAATATTCTATACCCATACTTGTAATATATACTTGTAATACTGTAAATATACGTTACACATGTAATACACATCCCAGAATATTCCATAGAATTTCCCATAACATCTCTTGTTGTATATTATTTTTCATATATTCTCAGAATATACTTTGAATATCTTGTATTAGTATATTCTTTTTTGTATATTTTCAGAACATAATTCTATAATAAAAAAAAACCTTATAAAGGTAAAAAATACGCCAAGTACATAAAAAAAATTAAAAAATCTAAAAGAGTGATAAAAATAAAATATTTAAAAACCGATATAAGATCAATATTATTAGCCAAGTACAATAAATTATGTGATATTAATTCGTAATCGATACTAAATGAGTTAAAATTACTTTAATTTCTAAAGTATTGTTTATATGATGTATATAATTTAAAAAAGCTTTACACAAATTCTAAATCGCATAAAAGACCTTCAGGTCGAAGTAAGATAAGAAAACTTATATATATTTGGAAATATATTTGGAATAATATACAAACACAACTTGCTTATCAGATTAAAAACTTGCTTATAATATATAAAAAAAAATGATCAATGATTGAAATTTTGAAACACAATAATTTTCTAAGTTCGAAATCTTTAATAAATCGAATAATCTTTAATAAAAATTTAAGATATTTTAAGATAAGAAGGAAATTCTTTTGTGTTGTTTTATCAAAAATATGTTAATAAAAAATTTTATAGTAAATATAATTTAAATTGATATTATTTAGACATATTACACACATAACTGTTTTATTTAGTCTTTAAATTAATTGATAACCAATTAATTCTTCTCTTAGCAGCTGTTTTTGAACAATCTCCGATCTGTCACTAGTTTATTATTTTATTCTACCCTTGTCTGATATCCAAATTTGCTTAATCCAACTTTCCAAACAGTTATACCGCATTGAAAATTTGAAAAAAGTGAATGTTTTTTTAAGATTAATATTTCTTATTTACATAATATGTTCATTTTTCATTTATTGCAAGAAGAACAATAAAAATGCGTTATTTAAATACATTATACATTAAACATAATATGGAATATAAGAGGATATATTTATAACATATAAAATTTACAACTTAATAATCAAATTATCAATGTTTATAATATTTAAAGAAAATTATCAAGGAAATAAATTTTTAAACAGTTGCCTGAATGTGAATAAATTTCTATGAATATCTCCAGTTTTAACAAAAAAATTGTTATCTCATCGAAAATATATTAAATAAAAATTTTATTTTATAATTAATGTAAATGAAATTAAAAACCAGTTAAATTTTAAATATTAAAAATGTATTAAAAATAATTGAATACCTTTAATAAAATAAAAAATATTTCTCATTTGTATAATATTTTTCATCAGTTGTAAGAATCATAATAAAAATGCGTATTTAATATTTGGACAGTGAACATAATATTGAATTGAAGATATTTATAACATATTTATAACATCTTGAATATATTTGGAATAATATCCAAATACAACTTGGTTATCAGATTAAAAATGCATATAATTTAAAGAAAAAATGATCAAGAATTGAAATTTTGAGACACAATTTTCTAAGTTTGAATAAACTTTAATAAAAATTTAAGATATTTTAAGATAAGAAGGAAATTCTTTTGTTGTTTTATCAAAAATATGTTAATAAAAAATTTTATAGTAAATATAATTTAAATTGATAATATTAAAACATATTACACATATACCTGTTTTATTTAGTCTTTAAATTAATTGATGACCGATTAATTCTTCTCTTAGCAGCTTTTTTTGAACAATCTCCGATCTGTCACCAGTTTATTATTTTATTCCACCCTTGTCTGATATCCAAATTTGCTTAATCCAACTTTCCAAACAATTATACCGCATTGAAAATTTGAAAAAAATGAATGTTTTTTTAAGATTAATATTTCTTATTTACATATATTCATTTTTCATCTATTGCAAGAAGTACAATAAAAAATGCGTTATTTAAATACTTTAACATTGAACATAATATAGAATATATAGGAGGATATGTATATTTATAATATATACAACTCACAACTTGATAATCAAATTATCTATATTATTAAGAAAATTATCAAGGAAATAAATTTTTAAACAGTTGCCTGAATGTGAATAAATTTCTATGAATATGTCAAGTTTTTAGAAAAAGAAATTGTTATCTCATCCAAAATATATTAAATAAAAATTTTATTTTATAATTAATATAAATGAAATTGAAACGTTAAGAAAGGGGATCAATATATATATATTTGTTTACATATTATTTAAATTAATTGCGTATCGAACAATTTTTCTTTTGACAGCTCCTCTGTAACAATCTCCGAATCTTCACTGGTTTATTTCCTTACTCCATTTTCTGATATCCAATCTTTCTTAATGTAATGTGCGGAACAATTATAGAATTATCGCTTCGTCTCTCTATGCAAATCTACACGCTTAATAAAAAAAATCAATAATTATATTTATTTTCAATTGTGTAGCAACGTTTATTACGTGTGAAGTTATCATTTCTGTTGTAATTATCTGTTCAAAATAATAAAGATGCATCTACATAAGACGCAAAATGCGAATCGCAGATCGCAAGATTTGACGCAGCTAACTTCTTAATGATAATCGTTGCTCTGAAAGAGAAGTTATGACATTTCATTAATTCTTTTATAATGTAGAGAGCTCGCTGTATATCTATATGGACTATATAGACTATAAAGACGCAAAAGTCTCGTGATCAGCGACTTGCATTTTGCGTATTGCGTCTTGCGACTCGTATTCTGCGTCTTATGTAGATGTGCCTTAAAACTCTAATATATACAGAGAAGGAAATAAACCAGTGAAGATTCAAAGATTGTTACAGAGGAGCTGTATAAAAAAATTGTTCGGTAGCAATTAAATTTAAATAATATGTAAACAGCGCGTGCGTGTGTGCGTGCGTGTGTGCGCCGTGGGTTGTGTGTGTGTGGGTGGGTGGATGTGTGGTGAGTGTTTGTATTGTATATTATATATATATATATATATATATATATATATATATATATATACAGGGTCTACCAAAAGTGTGGAAACCCCTAATTTATTATTAAAAATATACATTTTATAGAAAATTCTTTCAAAAAAATTTAGTTAAAAAAAAACTGTTTAAAAATTTATTTCCTTGATAATTTTCTTTAACACAAAATATGCGAGTTCTAGCAGAAGAAATTGAATTTGCAAAGTTTTTATTAGATATGGGAGACGGTATATTAAACGACTTTAATGATAACATACAGATTCCTGAATGTTGTGTGGCGCCTATTAATGCTGATATTTTGGAAGACATATATGATGAGTTAATATGAAAAAAGGAATTTGCTAAAATAACTGTTACGTCCAAACCCTGAAAGGATGAGCTGTATGGAAGAACGTAACTTACTTACCCCGTGACACATTTTATTCGGGAGTGTGTATGGATCGGGTCGAACGA